GATCTCTGTTGACCCCCAGGAAACACTGACATAGAAACCATTCTCAGCATTCCCAGAGAGGAGGCACACACCCAGCCAAACCCAACCCACTGCCCTTGAGTCTGGTCTGACTTGTTGCAGCCCTATGTGAGATTCCCAAAGCAGTGAGCATTACAGAAACAGACAGCCTCACTTGTCTTCGTGGAGTGGCCAGTGGGTTTGTACTGCACATCTTGCAGGAAGCAGCTTCCTAAAGGACTCCAAGTTGGAAGCATGTAGATGCCTTTAACCTTCATTGTGCAATCAGTCCTTGGGTGTGGGCTGCACTGAGAAAGGGGGTTGAGCAAGCGAGCTAAAGAGCACACCCCCAGCTCAGAGAATTAGCCTTTCAGTCCTCAAGGAGATGAGGGCAGCACAGCATCTGCTACAACACTGACTGGGTGTTGGAGGAAATTTTTTTAAATGCCTTAAATTTTCATTTGGGCATGGTCACATTATTATTCTTAAGATTTTACAGAAATAGAAAACTGAAATGTTTTAGAAACAGAGCGCTTGAAATGATATTCCTAATGGGATTTGTTTCAAAATAACTCGGAGGGGTAATGTGGCAATAAATTAAAGATGAGCTGGTATTTCTTGAAGATGGATGGTAGAAATATGTGATTTCATTATATCATTGCCTTTGCTTATGTATATTTTGACTTCCTGTAAAAAAAAGTTGAAAAATGTGATACAACTAAAAGAAAACAAATTATTTATAGAAAAAAATTGATAGTAAGGCATTGCAGAATGGACCATCTATGAATAAAGACTAAATGTAATTTTCATCCGTCTGCCCTAATGTAAAATGTTACTCATGAGAGGATGGAGATCTATGATCTGCTCTAGTTTTACAGAGGATATACTAAGAAAAAGAAATCAAGATGAATTGATTTAGATTTGAATGAAGGAAAAATTCCCTGGAAAGAGGCCTTATTAAACATCATACTGGCTTAGCAGGGAAGAGGATTGTGGGCATATTAAGGATGGAACAGATGGATGAGCATCCTTCTCAGAAGCCTCATGTGAAATCTCAGGAATATCAATAAGACGGTGGCCTCTAACTATGCTTCCTGTCATAGAGCCAGCTGTTTCTTTGGTTTGTTTTGCTTTTTAAGCATCTTAATATTGCTTTTTCCCTTTGAAGGTAAATATGGCTTTTATGTGTGTATTAAAACAAAAACTCACTGCCATCAAGTCCATGCTGTCTCTTAGTGACCCTATAAGACAGGGTAGAACTGCCCCTGTGAGTTTCTGAGATGGTGACTCCTTACCAGGAGAGAAAGCCCCATCTTTCTCCTGAGAAGCAGCTTGTAGTTTCGAACGGTTCACCTTGCAGTTAGCAGCCCAATGAATAGCCACTGTGCTACCAAGGCTCCCTCAGTATATGTGAAGATATTTTGTGATTTGTGTAATGAAATAATTTATATGTCCAGCTTAAGAATCCATCATAAGTTCAACCAAGTTAAAACATCCAAATGCTATTTTTAAAATGAAAATTCATCCATATAGCCCATTTCCTGACGGTTTCTAATTTCTGTCTCAGTACTTGCTCTCAAGCAGCTTCACCTGTTAGAAGTGGGCCATTCTGGCTGCTGACAGTATTACCTTGAGCTTGTAGCCACTATTAGGATTCAGCAAGGAAAACTATGATTTTCATGATGCCAAAAATATTTAAAAAAATCAAAGGCTTAAATTAAGCATACCATTCACAATGACAATGATATAATAAAGTGGATTTGCGGGTGGCATGTGCATCATTAATTATTGGAAAAGTACCCTATTGCCCATAACTCATGTCATCCAGCACAGGAGACTTGTCTTTACACTAAAAGAATAAAAGGACATCTTTTCCCTGCCGGTGTTGGTCTCTCTATTTGGACCGAAAGGAGTAGTGCAGTGAGTGGTTAAGCATTTGACTGCCAATAGAAAGGTCAATGGTTTGACCCTACAGCCATCAAAGAAAGATGTGGCAGTCTGCTTCCCCAGAGACTTACAGCTGGGACACCCCACGGGGCAGTTCTACTCTGTCCTGGGACACCCCACGGGGCAGTTTTACTCTGTCCTGGGATGCCCCACGGGGCAGTTCTGCTGTGTCCTGGGACACCACACGGGGCAGTTGTACTCTGTCCTGGGAAACCCCACGGGGCAGTTGTACTCTGTCCTGGGACACCCCACGGGGCAGTTCTACTCTGTCCTGGGACACCCCACGGGGCAGTTCTACTCAGTCCTGGGACACCCCACGGGGCAGTTCTACTCTGTCCTGGAATACCACATGGGGCAGTTCTGCTCTGTCCTGGGACACCACACGGGGCAGTTGTACTCTGTCCTATAGGGTCTCTTGAGTCAGAGTCCACTCAACTGCAATTGATCTTGGTTTGGTTTTATTTGGAACGGATTCCTACCCAAATAGGATGTGGGCCTCGTATCCTCTAATTAATCTTGCTGAGTTTCTTTCTCTTTGCATGGCTGCTTTTCTCCTGACATTCACTTTGGGTCCTTGTCTCAGATGTGATGCCAAGAGAAGTTGAATGAGACTATTGGTAGGCCAAGGAAAAATTCAAAGATCTCAAGGGTTTTCTGAAACATTAAGGCTTTAGACAGTGCTAAGTACAGTAAAAGCAGAATACTAGTGTACATGCTCTAGAAATCTCCACTGAACGAAACATTACTAATCTTGCATTGTCATTATTGTGGGTACCTCAGTCATTAATGGGCATCTCAGTCAGTCATTAAAGGGGAGGTTTGTGCTTCCTGTACCAGGGTTCTACAGTCTTCCATTACTATGAAAGGAGGCCCCATGCCCAGAAATGGGCCACCAACAGGCA